TGGCCACCATGCACTTCACTGATCCAGCAGCCATTTGGCTACAGTCAGTTCAGGGAAAACTTGCGGGTCTCGATTGGGAAGCATTATGTACCTTGCTATGCACTCGATTTGGACGCGACGGGCATCAATTACTTATTCGTCAGTTTTATGCTCTGCGTCAAACTAGTTCTATGTCTGATTACATTGAGCAATTTGAAAACCTCATGAACCATCTTATCTCCTATTCTGATGTTGTCCACCCACTTTATTTTCTGACGAGGTTCATTGAGGGATTGCACACGGATATCCACACTATGGTGATGGTACAATGACCCAAGGACCTCGACACTGCTTGTGCACTCGCCATTCTGCAGGAAGAGGTGGCTGAGGGATAGTGAGGATCCTAGCACAACCAACAGGATGGGACATCCTCTTTGGGGCATGCTCGACCTTCAGTACTATTGCCGCTACCCCCTCCACCGGGTCGATCACCGACCACCTCACCAACAGCGGATGATCGCAGAGGGACAGAGGTAGCTCGTGCTGGGAGTGATTCTTCCAAGATCACGACGTTGCGCAATTTCCGCCGAGCCAAGGGATTATGCTTTAAGTGCGGCGAGCGTTGGGGCCATGATCATATCTGTCCACCTACAGTTGAGTTGCATGTCATTGAGGAGATGTTAAGCTTGTTCAACCTAGATATTATTGAAGAGGAAGCTACCATAGTTGAACAACAGCAACAACAACCGGATACAATGGAACAAGTGTGGCATCTCTCGATCAATGCAGTCTCGGGAACTGAGGCACCCAGTTGCTTGCAACTACACGGTTGGCTACAGGGACATGAAGTTCTGATGCTGGTCGACTCTCGTAGTTCAACCTCATTTGTTTCTCATCACTTATTGGCCAGCTTGCAAGGAGTGCAGGCTATGCCCAAGTCCGTCAAAGTGGTTGTAGACAATGGGTCTGAGTTGTGGTGAAATCAGGAGATCTTGAGATGTTCTTGGTTTGCACAAGGGCACATGTTCTCCTCCAATTTTAGATTGTTACCCTTGGGATCTTATGATGTCATATTGGGTATGGACTGGCTAGAATACCATAGTCCCATGCTCATCGATTGGGCAAAGAGACGTATGCAGATTGAACATGAGGGATTCACGGTGGTTTTGCAAGGGGTAACATCCAACGCACGCAAATGTGAGACTCTGAATAGTGTGTAGCTGGCAAGCATGGAGAAGCAGGCAGTCGTAGCCTACGTTGTGCACATTTATTTTGCCATTGATTCAGATACAGTCACTGACATCAATTGCACAGAACTCCCACCAGAGATTGTGCAGGTACTCTTGGACTATGAGGATGTCTTTTTGGAACCTACGGGACTGCCACCAAAGCGTGCGTGTGATCACAATTCCCCTAATGCAGGGAGCACAGCCAGTTAACATACGGGGCTACCAACACAAACCTGAATTGAAAACGGAGGTGGAACGACAAGTGGCAGAAATGTTGAAGGTTGGTCTTATTCAAAAGAGCAGCAGCCCATTTTCCTCTCCTATCATCCTAGTCAAAAAGAAAGACGGCACTTGGCACATGTGCGTCGATTACAGACGCCTGAACACCATGACCATTATCAGCAAGTACCCAGTGCTAGTTCTCGAAGACATATTGGATGAGCTGGCGGGGGCACGCTGGTTTTCCAAATTGGACTTGCGCTCGGGATATCATCAGATCCGTCTAGCAGAAGGGGGGGAATACAAAACTGCATTTCAGACTCACCCTGGACATTATGAGTTTAGAGTGGTACCGTTTGGCCTCGGTGGAGCACCGGAACCTTTAATGGGGGATTGATTGTCACTTTACAACAAGTGTTATGTGTCTTGCGCCATGTCTTTCTTCGATGATATTCTTGTCTTTAGTCAGTCTCTTGCTCTGCACGTGCAAAATCTACGACAAGTTATGGATCTGCTATAGAGAGATCAGTGGTATGTGAAGAAATCCAAATGTGTGTTTGCTCAGCAAGAAATCAAATACCTCGGCCACACAATTTCTGCACAAGGGGTAACAACAGACTCTGACAAGGTCCATCAAGTGGCTGCTTGGCCTGTGCCAACATCAATCAAGGAGGTTCGAGCCTTCCTAGGATTGGTTGGGTATTACCGATGCTTCGTTCGCCAATTCGGTATGATCGCCAGGCCATTAACTCAATTCATGTGCAAGAATGTCCAATTCCAGTGGACGGAGGCCACCCAGTCTGCCTTCGATGCTCTTAAGGTCTCCCTGACATCAGCACCAATCTTGGCTCTGCCGGATTTCATAAAAACATTCGTCATTGAAACAGATGCGTGTGAATATGGAGTGGGGGCAGTGTTACAGCAGGAAGGGCATCCCATCGCGTACCTCAGTAAAGCATTGGGTCCTCGCACCAAAGGTCTCTCAACATATGAGAAAGAATACCTTGCCATTGTACTAGCAGTCGACCACTGGCGACCCTACCTACAATTTGGTGAATTTCTGGTGAAAACGGACCAACGTAGCTTAGTGCACTTGGAGGAACAACGCCTCCATACCCCATGGCAATAGAAAAGCTTCACCAAATTGCTTGGGCTGCAATACCGCATTTGCTATCGCAAGGGCACTGAAAATAGTGTTGTTGATGCACTGTCACGATGCCCGGTTGATGAATCTGCTCAACTTCATGCTATCTCAGTGTGCCAACCGGCTTGGCTCCAGGAAATTGTCAAAGGGTATGACAACGACCCTAAAACACAGCAACTCATCACACAATTGGCGGTGGCACCGGTAGCCGAGGGGAAATTCACATTGACCAAGGGCATTGTCCATTTCAAAGAACGTGTGTGGCTGGGTACCAACACCAAGTTACAACGGCAGATCATGAGAGCTCTACATGACAACGTTGTCGGGGGCCACTCCGGCTTCCCTACAACTTATCGACGCATCAAGCACTTATTTGCATGGTCTGGGATGAAACAACACATCAAGGAACATGTGCAGTCATGCACTGTCTGCCAGCAAGCGAAGCCAGACCAAGCTCAATATTCGGGACTGCTCCATCCATTACCGGTGGCCAAACGCTGCTAGGAATTAGTGTCCTTGGATTTCATTGGAGGGTTGCCACAGTCCAGACAGTTCAACTGCATCCTGGTGGTTGTGGATACTTTTTCCAAATATGCTCATTTCCTCCCTATCAAGCACCCGTACACTGCTCAGACCATTGCTCAGCTTTACATTGATCAGGTTTACAAACTTCATGGCATGCCTGAGGCACTCATCTCTGGTCGTGATGCCATATTCACCAGTAAAGTTTGGCATGAGATCTTCAAGTTATAGGGCGTGGAGTTGAAAATGAGCTCGTCACATCACCCACAGACGGATAGTCAGACTGAACGCGTCAATCAATGTGTGGAGACATATTTGCGCTGTTTCGTTCACAGCACACCTGCAAATTGGAGCAGATGGTTGGCCTTGGCGGAGTTTTGGTACAACTCTACATATCACTCCACTCTTGGCAAAACACCTTTCTCGTTGGTTTATGGGTAGGAACCAAGACACTTGGGGGTGGTTCCGGAACAAGCTACACCTTTGCCCGAGCTGAATGAATGGCTAGAGGAGCGCCAACAAATGCAAGATCTCTTGCGACAACATCTTCTCAGGGCAAAACAAATCATGAAGACGCATGATGATAAAAAAAGATCCGTCCGTGAATTTCAAGTGGGGGATCAAGTCTTTTTGAAACTCCAGCTGTACATTCAAACATCGGTGGCATGTAGAGCGAATCATAAGCTCAGCTTCAAATTTTTTGGACCCTACCTTGTGATCCGGCGAGTGAATGAAGTCACTTATGACCTCAAACTGCCAGAAGGATCCTCAATCTTCCCTGTCTTCCACGTCTCACAGCTTCGTCAGGCCTTAGCACCAGGTGCGAGCGCTTCCTCTTCACTTCCTTCCATTACTGTTAATACTCCTGTGAAGATCCTGGAGAAGCGATGGCGTAGAGGCACCCGCAAGATGAAGGAACAAGGGTTGATCCACTGGTAGGACAGCCAGGCAAGGCCGGACACATGGGAAGACCTCGAAGATCTACGGCGACGCTTTCCAAATGCTCCGACTTGGGGTCAAGTCGTGTCTGAAGGAAGAGGGGGTGTCAGCGCCCTACCTACAGGAGGAGCATCAGGGCCACGAGCGGAGGAAGCCCAACAGAACCGGCCAAGAGGGAGCGAAGACCTTGCCACAAGTTCACTGGGCCTCAATGGATCTCATACCTCTTCCGCCCAAGCAAGACAGTAGTCCATTGATAAGATAGGGTGGAGTAGATGAGAGAAGACATCCTGGCTTGGATCAGACTGGCGGCGGCGGCTTGTAACCTGATTCCCTTTCTCCCTCTCTGCTAGTTCATCTTCCTCCTAGCAAGATTGTATCCCCAACCTGTAAATGATCCTGTTTGATCCAAAGATATTGAGAGAGTAGCTAACAAGGTCATCGTGCACACCCTTCATTTTTTTTCTCTCACAGAATGTTAACATCGTGCATAATTACATCCAGAAAACATCATGCCAGGAAAGTAAGGGGTTTGATCTTCAAGAGAGGTCGCCACCTTGGAAAGTAAGGAGTTTTGATCCTAGGACCCATCCAGGCAGCAATGTCGTCGTCATCACAGTCCTTTTTGAAGGCGTTGCTTGGTACGTGGCAATTCGGTGGCATAGCAGTGTGGTGGAATTCTCCGGTGGGCGCAGAGGTTGTGGGATACTCTTTTGGGCGTGATTGCGCTGTTTGCCCCAGTAATGAACTCACTGTTGTATCGGGTGGTTGCTATACAAGGTGGAATAGACCATTTTTCCCAAGCAAAAGGGCTTCATTGCTATGTGTCATTGGAGTATATTGAAAGGGCCAAAGTGCAAAAGGAAAGGTGAAGGACACTTGGGCTCTTCTGGCGCAATATGGGCCGCTCGCATGACCCACCAAATTGATCACGACATAATAAAAGGACAGTCGCGTCAGAATCCTTAATGCCGCCTTCATTTGAAGCTTCTCCCCCAGATACTCTACGAGATAACACACGGCATCGGGTAGAAGAACGAACCGAACCCAAACACCTCTCCTCCACGACGACTCTTAACCCCATCCTCCCGCCCCGCACCCGAGAGGAAACAAGCCAGGCCATGGGCGACACCGCCGCGCCCGCGGCCGCGCCGCCGAGGAAGTTCGGCAGGATCTGCGTCTTCTGCGGCAGCAACTCCGGCAATCGCGCGGTGTTCGGCGACACGGCGCTCGAGCTCGGCCAGGGGCTGGTGAGTAATGCGCTGGAATGCCGAGGCTGCGCGCGCCCTGTTCCCGGGCGGCCGGGTGCCCCAGAATTCGACGTTCACGGTGGGATTTCCTTTCCTTGCAGGTGACGAGGGGGGTTGATCTGGTCTATGGCGGGGGCAGCATCGGGTTGATGGGCCTGATCGCGCAGACGGTTCTGGATGGCGGCTGCCGTGTCCTCGGGTACCTCGCCGGCCGCCTCTGTTTATAGTCCCTTATATAGTTGTAGTACTCTGCAACCTTCCTAATGGGGTATGTATCTCTCTGTTGGATTGTTTTGCAGGGTGATTCCCAGAGCACTCATGCCCCTTGAGGTGCGTACCAATCTATTTCCTTCTACTAGGTTTTCTTATTGTTCTTATTATGCGTAGAAATACATATTGATACGTCATTCTTAACTGCCTAATCGGTTCGTTAGAGAGAGAAAGAAGTTTCTGCTACGCAGTGACGCAGTAGCAGTACGACTCATCTCTCTGCCTAAAGCGAAATTTCATACGGAATTTCGGAACACTTACCGATGGATGGGCCATCTGAATCCTATCCTTTTGTTTGGCCCCACCTGTCGGTGTCACGACTTTTCACGATCACCTAGCAAATATATACTAGTGCTATCTATCTCTATTGGTCACCCACTCACCATTTGATTCCCGTTTTCTGTTGGGTCCAGACCGATTCACCTTTGCTTGTGGGGTTACAAATAGGTATGTGATCATTGAGGAATTGGACTAGAATAGGGCTGAAATTCCCGACCGTCCGTTTCAGGCCTGTTTCCAGTTTCCATACACGCAAAAATGAACCGTCAGCTTAGACTTTTGGGCGGTGCAACTTGGAGTTATAAAGTTGGCCGCTCGGTGGATGTAATAATAGTGTTCAATTTGCCTGCCATGAGGCATGAGGTCGGTCGTCACAAGTTGAGTGAGAAAAGTACGCAAGCAGTGGAGTTTGAATTGCACCATTATGCATATATGTATATATTGAATTGATGTGGAAGTGCTACTGTCCAAACATCTCTCAACTTTGTAGGATGGTGATAGGAGAAATCTGAAAGTCCTATTTCATTTCATCGAGTAATGAAACACCAAAACTTGTGTTTCAGATCTCTGGTGCAAGTGTTGGAGAAGTAAAGATAGTCTCTGACATGCATGAGAGGAAAGCTGAGATGGCGCGACAAGCTGATGCATTCATTGCTCTTCCGGGTATGAACGGCACGATTATACACGTTCTTCCCTGACCCTTTTTGTTGAATGGGCTAATGTGTCAACCCGACAATGCTTACATGATTATTACTTTGTGGACACCAGGAGGGTATGGAACAATGGAGGAGTTGTTAGAGATGATCACATGGTCGCAGCTCGGAATCCATGACAAACCAGTGAGTATTATGACTACTAGTGGTACTAATACATTGCCATAGCCTGCCTTAGCTGAGTACATTGTGGGCTATGACAATTGACAAATGAGTCTGCTACAGACACCGTGCTCTTCACAAAAAAACTAATAATCCAGGCGCACTGATGATTGACTTGAACAGGTTGGCTTGCTAAACGTCGACGGGTACTATGATCCGTTACTTGCGCTGTTCGACAAGGGCGCGGCAGAAGGTTTTATTAAGGCCGATTGCAGGCAGATAATCGTGTCGGCGCCAACTGCCCACGAACTGCTGACGAAAATGGAGGTGAACTGACCTCACTGCTCACTACACTTTAATACGCTCCCTTGAGTTTAAAACGCCTGGCCTCGTTGACAAACGGCATTGTTATTGTGTTGAATGATTCTCTCGATTGTGCTCAGCAATACACCCGTTCACACCGGGAGGTGGCGTCGCGGACGAGCTGGGAGATGACCGAGCTGGGCTACGGGAAAGCTGCACCAGAGCCGGAGGAGGAGGCGTCGTGCTGATGTGTGGCACGCATCGTCGTCCCTTGTTGCTCAACTGGCCACTGGGATTGCAATTGCAATAATCGTAGTGTGTTGTGATTTTGTGTTGTTGGTTGCCTTTTATGTAACCCTGTACGTTGGATTGCGACTTGATCTGGCGAAGATGCCTAAGATTGTGTATCTAGTTATTATCTGCCCCCTTGGAATGAATGCAGCGGCGTGAGCAAATGCTGACTGATAACCACAAACGTCAGAACTCAGGTGAAGTGAACCGATCGGGCAGTCGTTTTCTTGGGTCTGAATGAATGATTGTGCATGCATCTTGCTAGCATCAGTACCGCTGGGAATGACGTTAATGACGAGCTGGCAGAACGTCATTAATCTACAAGTTCCTTTCACAGCCATCTTGTCGAGAACCTTGTGGGTCTGCGAGGCTTTTGGGTATGTTTTTGTCTGGAACTATGCTGCTACCTGGTGTGAACTCTGTTTCTGCAAGTTTGGTTTTCAGTAATGAAAATTGAAAGGGGAAAGCCCTTCTTTAATAAAAAAAAACAACCATCTTGTCAAATGGCATGTTCAACCATGGCCCGATGGCCGCCTCCAGAGTCAAAAAGGAAGAAGGAAAACACCATGGCCGCCTCAGCTGGGCTGGTAGTCTGGGCTCTCCCTCCACATAGGCTCCATGTGGTCCGGGGGGACCCCTGGCCATGGCTCTAAGACTAGCCACAATGGAGAGTAACATATAGTAGTAACATACACATATTCCTAGACTATGTTACTACTTCAATAGTGGGTAATAACATAAGTATAGTAACATGCAAAGCTTCATTTATTAGGTTATAGACTCATATTGCATTGAGACATGTAATATTACAGTAACTGGCTAAGTTACTAGTACTACATCTCTTCTCATTAACTCACTGCCACATAAGCAAATTTGTTGAGTTGAACTCAATGTTACTACCGAAGTTACTCCCACTGTGGCTAATCTAATGCGTTCCCTGACACCTGCAGGCACCCAGTTGAGACATGTAGCTGTACATGTTCCCTTGCAGTGCTGTGTCGGCTGCCTGGGCTGCTGCGCCTGCACTACTCAGTGTTTTTTATCCACCAAATACGGTCAATTAGGACACATCACCACACAACAGTTCCAAAGAAAACATCTCAACTCATGCAACAACATCAACCTTTTTTTTTCATCACGAACATGCATACTACTCCCTCCGTTCCCAAATATTTGTCTTTTTAGGCATTTTAAATGGACACATACAGATTCACTTATTTTGCTCCGTATGTAGCTATTTATTGAAATCTCTAGAAAGACAAATATTTCGGGACGGAGAGAGTACTAACTTTGTTTGTAAATATAAGTCCTTTTAGAGATTTTCGACCATATACAGATGTATGACATATTTTAGAGTGTAGATTCATTTACTAACTTCGTTTATAAATACAGGTCCTTTTAGAGATTTTCCTAGAGACCACATACAGATGTATGACATATTTTAGAATGTAGGTTCATTCATTTTGCTCCGCATCTAATCCATATTATAGAATCTCTAAAATGACCTATATTTACGAACGGAGTAGTGCTATGCAAATTGCAAATAACAACATGAGACAGACAACGACAGAAGAACGCATGAGTGCAAAAACACGCATGGTACAGACGTTAAAAGAAATTTATAACCTTACAAAACACATTTCTAAAAAGCCACACGACATTGTTCCTCAAAGGCACATTAATAGTCAGGAAACGTTACCAGCCAAATTCGTTCGATGAACGGACGAAAAAATTCTACATGGTCAGGTTCCAGTCTCCAAAGACAAAGTCCTACAAGCTGCACTTGGCTGTGCCAAGACAATGGCAACTGGACAAGGTGCACCGTAAGGAATAGAAATAATACAACAGACTCGACAAGCGCCACATAACAAACTATAGAGATTAAAGACATTTACAGAACCACCCCAATCACATTAAATTATGAGAGCTACATTCCTTGTGCCTCGGGTTGACCACTTATTTACCGTGTCCAGAAGACCACCACCATCATCTGGCAATAGCACTTCACATCCTCCTCGTAACATCTCCTGTGATCCAAAACTCAACAGGAAATGCTGTGCTTATCTTCAGATTATAATTTATACACAGCACACGTAGAAGTAGAATCGTTTTCTCAGTGCTACTAGTACTGAGCCCTCTCATCGCCATCGAAATTAAGACCTTCAATACCTTTGAGGGCAGACTCGTAGTTCTTCGGGTTAGATGAATGCCGAGCCGAAGAGGAACGCTGTGGTTCTGCAGAATCAACCGGTGGGCTTCTCTGAGCACCTGAGGTTCTACGGAATGCACCAGGGCTTGCATCAGTCGTACGTGATCGTGAAGGCTCAAAAGTGTCACTTGCCACAGCATCCCGGCTACTTGAAACAGCAGCTCTCCTTGATGATCCACTTGAACGCCCCAAAAAATTCGAGCCGGATATCTAAACAACAGCAACAACAGCCAGAGTAAGTAAGAAGCTTGAAACAATGAGCAATGTTTTCGGTGTTTTCCATTTCCATAGTGCAGATTATGAATCGTAATGCCCAGATACAAGAAAAAAAATATGATTGGAGTCCTCGGCGAGGAAAACAGAACATTCACAACCAACTGAAAAACAAGAGATACAAAGATTACAGAGTGATAATACAAGCCTACATGACACTTGCACAAAGCTGGAAGTATTTCTGCAAGCCACATGACACTGATCAGGGTTACACAACTGAAAAATAGCAGATAATGATGACCTATGTGGGTTGAATTTTGGCAAATAAGAGCACCAGTTTATAAGAACAAGTCATGAACGCAAGGTTGACTAAGAAAATTTGACTAGTGAGCACATTGTTCCTCTCTTGCACTAGAAATTGAAAAACAGTGTCTGGCGCCCTAATCTTCCAATCACAATATCCAAGTCCTATAGGACAAACAAAGGGATATGGGGAGAGTACACACCGCAGGGTCTTTAGAAATAGGAGCATCATTTCCTACAGGGGCTTTCTGCTTATTTGAAGTCCCCACGCTTGCAATGGGGGGTGGGGCACGACGTCGGTCCATTGCTGACCAACCACTAATCCTCCCTTCAACGGCACCTACATCATAACAAATGGATAAATAAACATGGCTAAGAAGGTCAGACAATTCATTGTTCCACTATAGAAATCCAATCTGGTTCAAGTTAGCCATAGAAGCAAAGGAACTTTTTGGCAACTTCATTATAAGCCAATTACTCATCAATATTGCCTGAAAACAGTAATAATAATACTCGTAAGGAACGATCAAAATAAACCAATTACCAGATTGACTATCATTCTGCAATACAGGTGGTGTCAACCCAGAAGGTCCTGCACCATGGCCCTGTAAAATATATGTAAGACGTCACAGTTTCACATGGATGGCTACGTAAAAATACACATATTTGGTTGGTGAGTGCACAAAAGACTTACCGCAACACGAGGCGGGGCACTAGCAATTTGAGATTGTTGGTACTTCAGTATTGTCCAGTCAAATACATAGTCAAACTGAAAACCTGCAAAGCATTACTCTGATATCAACCATACGCCTGTAACCTTCAAAGCATTTTAGATGTTGGCACTTCAATAATACACAGAATGCAACAGGTTTCCATCAAGTATGGAGGAGGCAAGTTAATATCTCATAGATTCAAGTATTAAAAGGAAAACGATATTTACTAATCCTCTTCAAGAATGAAAACAAAATCAAACCTTCACGGATAAAGAGGTCACGGAACAGTCGCTTAAGGTAGGAATAATCAGGCTTGTCATCAAACCGAAGCGAGCGGCAATAATGGAAATATGATGTGAACTCAGTAGGATACCCACGACACAGAGCCTGAAATAGAATGAGAACATTATAACCAACATGATATACAGGGTGGAGTGCCAACAACCAGTACAGACATCATAACTACCAAGTACCTCAATTGATGTTGCAACTTTTTTCTCACTGATCTTCTCATACTTTTGCTTCTTCGTTCCTGCTTTCAGACCTTGCCAAGGAAGGCTGAAAAGAAAACAATGTTACATCTGATTCATTAATATATCTTATGTGGCACACAATAAGAATCCAGAAAATAAACCAACCTTCCCCGTAGGAAGTACATAAGTACATATCCAAGAGATTCCAAGTCATCTCTTCGACTTTGTTCTGACCAACACAAAAAAAGAGTAGAAGTAAATAGTCAGAAAAGAAGATACGCAGAGCAAGGAGTATGACATTCAACTGACAGCAGGATGAAGTCCAACAGGTGGAAGTTACAATGTAAAAAAGACAATTATGAACTGGTAGAGTATCATTTTCTCACCAATGCCAAGATGAGTGTTCACGCTTGCATATCTTGCTGTCCCAGTCAAGTTTTTGTTCTCTCTGCAGTATTACCATCAAGTAAGAACACAAGGCAGAGCCAAAGTAGATCAGAAAGAAAAACTGACATAAGAAGGGTGCTCCAACTAAAATGACATCTTCAAGAAAAGAACTATTAAAACATAATCGACATAATCTGGCAGTGGCATTTCTGTATGATGTATGGAAATAACTTAATCCACTATCATACTCCCTAGATAACTTAGTATGTTTATGCATCGTACCTGTATGGGATGTGCTGATGAGTCGAGGTATCCCTATACTTTTTGGCAAGGCCAAAATCTATAACATAGACCTGTCAAATATAAGAGCACGAATAAAGTGGTAAGAATGAACACAAGAAAATAATACAGCAGATCTGAATTAATTACTAAACACTGCATTGCTACCCACCTGATTAGCCCGCCTGCCAAGACCCATGAGAAAATTATCTGGCTTAATGTCTCGATGCAGAAATGACTTGGAGTGGACGAATTCCACTCGATTTATCTACAAGTGGGAGTGCAGATTACATACAGCTCATAAGCTAGGAATAAACAAAGAAAAAAAAACAGTACACATAAGACAAAAATGAGGAGCGAAATCATAATGTACGTATCACCAAAAAAAAAGCAATGGAAGGAACAGGGAAACTGAGTCTTGTGCAAAAAAGCAGGCGTTGGTGTGGCCAGCAACAATGGAGTGAGGTCCATGAAAATTAATCAAGGACAGGTACAGAGTTAATTGCTTGCCGAATGCTATATACAAATAGATTGATGGAGGCGACAAGAAGGAATGCATCAAATGATTGGTGTATGTGTACGTACCATCTGATCGGCAAGCATAAGTACAGTCTTGAGAGATAATTTTCTGCTGCAAAAATTAAATAGATCCTCCAGACTTGGCCCCAGCAAATCCATAACCAAGACGTTGTAGTCTCCTTCTACACCAAACCACCTGACATTTGGGATTCCAGCTGCCACAACAAAGATTGTCAAACCACTTGTTCCACTATCACAGTCCTACAAAATTATGCATGATGTAAAGCTTCCATACTTCCTCCTTGCAAAATCCTGTAAATCTTTGATTCGTAGAGCAGCTGAGGATGTTTTGTCTTCACATTTTCCTGCATGAACAAGAAAGGAATAAAATGTCAAACATCAGAAATCTGATACAGGCAATCAAGACGAAATAACCTGCATACTAAATTTAGTGATAGTTTATAGAAGCAACAAGCCACTATGATGCAGAATTATGGGCAATGGGCCTCTATATCTAGACTGTCACTCCGGGCTACAGAGTATGCAGCAATATGTTTCACAAGTTACTGTTTCTCATTCCTCTCCTGGTTTATTGTATCTGCCGTTCATATTTTATTACTATACATCATCCAATACTCGGCAGCTTGAGCTTAGTTGTCAATCTGCCTAGATTAACCGAAAGCACTAAAAAAGCTCAGGTCCAACCAAGTCAACCACACCAGTCAATTCCCAGGAACATGACCAATCAACTAGTCCAAATTGTTCATCCATGGAGAACCAAATCTGCCAACGAGGGCAGAGCATCCATCCAGAGCCAACTCAAAAGCCTGAATTGATTTGAGAAGAGCAGCATATCACGAGCTATCCTACAGGAACCCGCAACCTGACCGACGATAAGCCGGAACCAAGCATGAGCTGGTCCACATTCCTCAACCACTACGGCGTCCAAAGCAGGCTAACGCAGCAGCACCAGCACTCGGAAGCATCAGAAAGATCCGAGCAGTTGAATCGCAGCAGCAGGAGGACGTACCAGCTTAATCGCGACCTCCTCGTTGGTCTGGATATTAGTCCCTGCACACACGCAAAGGGGACAAGCAAACAGAACCGCGTCAAAAATCGATCGAGGAGTACAAAATACCCAAAAATGGAATCCGAAATTCGGGGTAAAGAGCAGAGCGGCCCGCCCGCACCGAGGTAGATCTCCCCGAAGGAGCCGCTGCCGATCTTGCGGCCCAGCCGAAACTTGTTCCCAACCCGCGGCTCCATCCCCGCCCGCCCCAGGAAATGCTCCGCCGAAGCTCGGGAGTTCCCACGGAGCAGAGCCGCAAAGACAAAGGCCAAAAGACGCGCTTTCCCCTCCCGAGAGACCTAGCGGCAGGGGGCTCAGATCGGCGCGGGGCTGGAGCTCGAGGGACCGGCGAGGCAGGGAGGCTCCCGCGGCGCTGCTGCTAGTGCTACCTAGGGTTTGGGGTGGGAGGGGAGGAGGGGCAGGCGGCCATGGCCGTGTGGGTGCCGCTTGGGATTTGTTTTTTCGGGGGGAGTTGGGGAAGTAGACCAAGCAAGCAAAGCAAAGCAGAGAGCAGGAGGAAAAAAGAAAAAGGACCAGTTTGGCCTCCCCACCCCGACTCTATCCCATTCCCCGTATCTTCTTCTTCCCTTTTGCATTTTAGCCCTCGCTTTGACGCTTTCGCTTTCCCCTATACCCCTGGCGGATACTTTGAATATTGCTCGGGGTACCCACCCTACTGTACTCTGCCGTAACCCTCTCGATTAGCATTGCTATCTTCTTATGAAGAAGGTTAGAAGCCAGTATGCCGAGTTGCTTTCTCTTGGTAGGGTCGTTTATCTTGTGGTGATTAAACCGAGTACGACTACACGGCAGCAGGCTTAAGCAGCAAGCGTGTCCAAAGATAATGTTTCTCCCAACTTGCCACGCGTACTTTTTAATGCTTAACCACAGGGACAAGGCGCCAGTCGATCGATCGTGACATGGCATGCCGTTCCAGTTTGGGTTCTTATGGATTGGAATAGGTGGGTTGCGTGTGGCCTGTGAGCGTATACCGTTTTTCGCTATCTCGGCATATTTATGGGCTAACTTGCACAATATTCTCTTGATGATAGTACAAGGCACCACGGTTATGCTGGGCTACATTCCGGCTTTCCCAGTGATGAAGCATCATGGCTTGTAATAATAAATGTATTTTGGGTGCTTTTGACTCTTCGGCAAGATGAGGCCATTTAGAAATGCTCAGCCTAGTTGATTAGCATCGCTAAAGTTGTGAATTTGTAAAGGTAAGTTCAAAAAAGAAATTGTATAGGTAAACCTTGAGATCAGATCAAAGCTGACTACATGAGATGACAATTAGTAACAAAACTGGGTGCTTATTTTATTTTATTTTTGAAAGATCCAGCAATCGCTGGCTTTTCACTGATTTAGCAGGAAGCAGCGGGAAAACAATTGAGGGGTGAAGATCCTAGGATCAAAAGTGCAGGGTTGGCCACAGACGGCCGCAAAAACCCTAGTGCACGAAAATTTCTTCTACTCTCTCAAGGTGGTTCCCCAAAAGGGCTCTCTATGCATGTTGCCCCTGTGATCCTCCCTGATGATCTCTTTCACACTTGGCAAGCTGCGACGGAAAGTACATTGGTTCCTTTCTTGCCAAACCTCCCAGCATGCCAGCAGCAAGATTGTCCGCGCGCCTTGCCGTCGTGGTGGATCAGTGTGCGCCAGGATGCTCTGGATGATCGTGGTGGAGTTGCCGCTGCTCCAGCAGGTTGCGGGGGAGAGCGAGGAGCAGCCATGCCATTGCCCGATCTCGCTCCACACCTGCCTGGACTCTGGGCAGTTCCAGAACAGGTGGCTCAAGGACTCGAGGTTTCTGACGCGGAGTTGGTAGAAGTAGCTATTCGGCCATCCTCGCCTCTGCAGTCTGTCATTGCACCAAAGTCTATCCCGCAGCAACAGCCACGCAAAGATTTTGATCTTCCCCGACGCCCAGGCCTTCCAGATGAGTTGATCAAAGTTGGTGGCCATCCTGCCTTGGAACTGCGCCTGGTATGCAGAGTTAGCCGAGTACATCCCCGTGCTCAAAAGCTTCCAACTGAGGGTGTCCGGCTCACCTGGTCGAGCAGGCTGTCCCGAACGCTGCAGCTCTCGGTGCAGGCTCAGGACCTCATCGAGGAGGTGCTGGTTTTGTCCGTGGGCAAGATCGTTGATCCAGGTGTCATCTTCCATTGCTTCCTGGACAGTTCTATGCTTGCGTCGTGAGTGGATGTAGAGTCGGGGGAAGCGCTGCGATAGAGTTCCATGTCCCAGCCACGGGGACAGCCAGAAAGATGCCCGCGTCCCGTCTCCGTTCGTCACCTTAGTCGATGCCGAGAAGAGAGCCCTGTCCGCGTCGTCGCATGGTAGCTCGGGCCCCACCAGGGCCTTTCCAGGTGGTGCCATGCGATCCATAGCCAGCGCAGCCGGAGCGCTCGGCCAGAACGCTGGAGGTCGGGGATGCCGAGGCCCCCCTACTCCGTTGGGGCACACACCGTCGGCCAATTCACCTTGCAACTGGCCCCAGTGATCTCCTCATCTTGTCTCCAAAGGAAGTGCCGCCTGCACTTGTCGATCTCCCGTAGTATCTTCTTCGGCAGGCGGAGGACGGTGAGCGCGAAGGTTGGCATGGCGCTCAGCATGTAGCGTACCAGCACTCGTGGCCCCGCCATCGGCAGCAGTTTGCCTTTCCATCCTGCAAGTCTCGCCTTGATTCGATCGATGATAAACTGGAGGTGAACGAGGCGTAGACAGCCCGTGGTGACCGAAAGCCCTAGGTATCTAATGGGGAAGGGGGCGACAGAGCCAGCAAAACCCTACAGCACCTCTCCCATGTTGATGTTTTCACAGCGGATGAGGGAGACCGTGGACTTGGCCGGGTTGATGCAGAGTTCGGTAGCCTTTCCAAAATCATCCAGGATGCGCAGCAGGGAGTTCAACTCGCCTTGGCTAGGTTTTAAGAAGATGACGGCGTCGTCGGCGTAGAGGCTGACCCGTAGCGTGAGATCGCGCCCCGGGAGGCGGTGGAGGAGCTGCTGGTCCACCGCGATGGCGATAAGGTGGTGCAGCGGGTCGATCGCTAGGATGAAAAGGAAGGGGGACAGCGGGTCGCCTTGCCGCAAACCCCGTAGGTGGAGGATTCTAGGGCTTGCCGTGCCGTTTAGGGAAACCGAGGAAGAGGCCGTGGCAAGAAGGCGCGCTACCCAGTCCCGCCAGCGTGCGCTAAACCCTAGCTTCTGCATCAGCTCGAGAAGATACTCCCAGGAGACGGTGTCAAAGGATTTCGCTATGTCTATCTTCATTAGAAGGCACGGTGTTTTGCGGCGATGCAGGGCCCTGACGGAGTTTTGCACGTAGAGGAAGCTGTCGTGGATACATTTCGACTTCAGGAATGCCGTCTGCGTAGGTGAGATGATTGTGCCGATGACGGAGGCAAGCCTAATGGAGAGGACCTTGGAGATGAGCTTGGCGATTGAATGGATCAGGCTGATGGGCCTGTAGTCCTTGATCTCCGTCGCCCCGTCCTTCTTAGGCAGAAGGATGATCATCGCGTTGTTGATCACAGACATGTCTCGCCCTGCTAGGTTGTAGAACTGATAGAAGGCTGCCATGACGTCGTCCTTGATGATGGGCCAGCAGGAGTGGAAGAACGAGCCGTTGAAGCCGTCTGGCCCCGGCGATTTTTCTTGTGGAGATTTGCAGATTGCCGCCCACACCTCCTGTTCGGAGAACGGATTGTCGAGTCCGGCCGCGGGCAAGGTTGGCAAGCGGACGGTGTTCCAGTTGACAGTGCAAGAACGAGGTGTCGCCGTCCCCATGGTGGATTTGAAGTGCTCATGGATGATCTGCTCCTTGTCATCGTGGGAGGTGACGATGGCGTCGCCACTGTGGAGGGCATGGATGAATTTTTTCTAGCGTCTGGAGTTGATTTTGGCCTGGAAGAAAGCCGTCTTGGCATCGCCCGCACGGAGCCAGGTGACCCTCGAGGCTTGCCGTTTGCGAGCTCTGTCGATCGTGGCTAGACCTAGTATGCGCAGCTTGAGCTGCTTCCGCAGTTGTAGCTCCTCGCTGGACAGCTGCCTGCGCTCCTGGGCTATGTCAAAACGTAGGATAATCTCGTTTTTCATGTGCATCTGGAGTCTCGTCTCACTGAAGAAGCCCTTCGCCCAGATTTTCAGGTCTTTTCCGTTCTAAGCAGCTTGGTATTGAGACGCTGGAAGGCACAGTTGGAGGCTACGGGGCGGTTCCAAGCGCGTTGGACCGTCGTGTGGAAGCGGGGAAAGCAAGGCTAGAAGGATTCGAAGCGAAACCGGGCCACGCGGCGAGGCGCAGAAGCTTCAGACAGCAGTAAGGGGCAGTGGTCGGAGCACAATGTTGAGGCAGCATGGAGAAGATATGACGGGAACATGGAGCTCCAGGCCATATTGCAGAAGAACTTGTCTATGCTAACTAAGGTTGGTGCCGTCCGCTCATTACTCCATGTGAATCTTCTGTTCTTGCATTTGATCTCTTTCAGGCCAGCGGCGTCGATAGCATTCCTGAATTTGCCCATGATTCTGCGGTTTATGGTGTTGTTGTTCTTGTCTCGCGCCTCGTAGATGAGGTTGAAATCGCCATTGATGAGCCAGGGGGCGTCTGCTGGAGGTGCAGCTCGCGATAGCTCAGCCAGGAACTCGTCCTTCCTCCCATCGTTGACGGGGCCGTACACCGTCGTCATCCAAAAGGAGATAGCCGTTGCCGCCAGGGTGATCTTGGCCGTGATGGAGAAGTGGCCAATGGCGTGGGATTGCATGTCCACGCGGCTTGTGTCCCAGAAAATGGCCGCACCACCATGGGTGCCATCCGCCGGGAGGACGACGCAATCAGCTAGTCTGCATCCGCCCACCTCCCTAACTAGCGATCTATTCCACTCGTCGATCTTTGTTTCTTGCAGGCAGAGGAGGGCCAGTTTGTGCGTTTCCGCTGCCTCGCAAACTATGGCTCGCCGGGCTGGCGAATTGAGCCCACGTACATTTCAGCACATGATTTGCAGGTTCGTGTCAATCATGGGGAAACGGGTGCATGCTCCGACGACTAAGACTACTAGAAATCAAAGATAGGTACACCACCATCGGCCCGAGGCGTTGCCGGCGGCCACCAATAGGCCCCAAATTCCGCCGGCGATCGACTATGCCCCTGCTACGAGAGTGCCCTGGACAGTTACAGTACATGGAGAAACCTAACT